ACCTACATAAGGTCACCTAGGGAGTGAGTGAATCCAGAGAAAGAAGATGACCAACAACCAGGGTGTGCAGATCAGAAAGAGGAAGAAGTTCAAGTGAAGGAGACTGAGGGTGGCCGGTAAGGTGGGGATACCCAGGACTGTGCCATGCCGTGGAGATGTTGATGACGATTGTCATCATCATCATTGTCGTTGTTTTCGATAAGTTGGTATTTAACACAGGCTGCTTTATCCTTCATTGGCTCTTTCTGTTTCTCAAATATAAGGAATACAAACCTGTTGAGAGAGGAGACAGGGACTTTGCTTTCCGGCTCTTTGCCCACCCTCCTTCCACATAGTGCCGGGTAGAGCGCCTTGAACTTAACAGTTGCCCAGAGGTTTGTTACTGACAGTGGAGTCCCCAACACAGTGGAAATACGTGTCCCTTCCATGCTTTCTTCTCCACCTGGTAGCTGGAACAGTGCTTCTCAAATTGTCTGCTCCAGTTTTTGTTCGTTTTTTTCCCCTAATCCACCATGGACTGATACTTTTAAAAAATACAATAAAAATGAATTAGTAAAACAATAAAATAGAAAAACATATAGCTCAAATGTTTATTATTCAATTGAGCAGACATAAAATGACTGTCTGGTTTCTGTACAATTTATTTCTAAATGCTTGCTCTTGATGTCTGCTCACCAAGCTCTCGACCAGCATTAAACAGTTTGGGGACCTGTACTGTCCACAAATCACACACTGAGCAGCCCTGGCCTAGAGAAATCAAGAAGCCATTGGTCAGAAGCCAGGGGATGGCCTGAGCTGTTGACCATCTGCCTGATGGGCTCCCAGGCCACCTGACCCCACCCCCTCCCCACTCCTAGTAAAAGGCTGGGTCACTGTTGGCCAGTGGTTCTCAAAGTGCGCTCCTGGAGCCAGCAGTTTGAGCATCACCTGGGAGCTTGTTAGAAACGCACACACTCGGGCCTCACCCCACTGACTCTGAAACTCCAGGCAGGGAGTCTCAGTGTCTGGTTTATCAGGTCCTCGGTGATTCTCATGCTCCCCAAAGTCTGAAAGCCACTGCTGGGGGCAGACTGAAACTCTATATGGAACTGAAAAAAAAAAAAACGATGCCGGTGCAGTCTCTTTCCCCATTTTAGTATTTACTCAGTCACTGCTCTGGTGGCTCTCAGCTCTGGCTCAGCATCTGAAGTAGCTGGGAAGCTTTTCAGGCAGTCTGTTCCTGGGCCGGGGGAGCTAAGAGTGGGGCCAGGCCGTGCTGCCCGCAGCTGCTCACGTGAGGCCAGAACTGAGAAGCCCACTTCCGTGTGCGAGGCACTGTCCCAGGTGCTGGGAGAGAGGTCTGGCGTGTGTGGATTCAGAGGATAAAGGGGAGTTTTCCTTATGCGAATTTTACAGATAAGTGAAGTTTTGTCCTGTTGCCAAACCTGGATCTTATTTTGATGAGTTTGGGATGGTAGGATTCTTCTATATACATTACTCGCTGCCCTGTCTTTTAAAAAACAGGTTTCTCAGCATCGTGTCACCCTTTCTTCACATCCTAGCACTGTCCTCCCGCATATCATTTTTGTCCTGGGCACCCACGGCGATGCCCTCTGGCTGTAGAAGTTGCTGGCTGCTTACTCTCGATGGCCTCACGTTGGTTAATAGTTTTTCTCATTTGCTAAAACTGGACAACTAAAGCTGTCAGGACTGTGTCTCAGATAAGAGCCGAGGGTTCTGAGTGTGAAGCTCTCCTCTGAGGAAGTCCATGAACTTTAATATGTGCACATGGTGACCAAGGCTGGGCTTCCTTGAGGACTTTCTGTGGTTCACTCCTGGGTCCTTGCCTACACCCCAGATGAAAAAGGTTACTCTAAGTGGCCTCTGGATCCATGGGGAGGTGCTGCTGTCCCCAAGGAGTCCATGGTGTGGGAGATGAGTGGACAGGAGGAGGGAGGGCACAGGGCGACGAGGTGTTGTGACTTCTGGGCACAGGTGGGAGGAGTTGCACATGCTGGCCAGCGAGCCCAGGGAGCAGCATGTGCTGTTGGCTGAGCAGGTGGAGGACGCCACCAACGGTCTCTTCAGTGCGCTCAGCAGCTCTGCCGTTTGCGTCGGGGCCTCTCCAGGTAAGCCCTTCCAGCCTGGGAGGGAGTGGCCTTGCCCATGTGGAAGCTGGGTGTTGACCGAGAGACACAGGGGGCCAGCAGCCTCTGCCCTAGGGGCTCTGTTCTGTCTCCCTGTGTCTCTCCCTGTGGGTTGCCCAGTGGGGAGCCCTGAGCTTGTCTCTCTGAGGGGAGAGGGGCCCAGGGCTTGGGACCTAGATCTGGTAGGGCCCACATCTCCCTGCTTGGGAGGAAGAGCCAGGTCTGCTTCCCCATATCTTGGTCAGCACAGAGAAGCACAGGGAGGCTTGAAGCTTGGAGCAAGATCCCTGTGTTCTAGTCGTCCTCATCAGGGTGCACCCAGGAGCTAGAATGATGCACGTTATATATAACGTTATGCGTGCCCATTATGTAAAAGCTGTGTGGGCTGGGCCTGTGCAGAGGAGATGCCCAGAGGCTGATGCCCCACTGAACTGACAAAGGCAGAGGGTGGCCAGGGCTGGGGGTGGGTGGAACCCCCAAGAGCAGGAGCAGCTGCTGAGGGAGTGTGGGTGGAGGTGGGAGTGTAACCCTGCCTTCCCATTGTTGTGTGTTGTGGACACAGACTGCAGGGTCGAGACTCACCCCTGTGAGCGCAGGACACTGGAGATGGTCAGGGAGCCTGCTGGCCATGCCCTGTGCTGGAGAGGATCACGCCAGACCGATGCTGTGCTGGCTGCGCTCTGTCCCTTCTACAGGTTTGTCCATAGGTCTGGGGGCAGAGCTGAGGGTACAGCCTGGGTGGGGAGGGAGACTCCCCAATGCCAAGTGCTCACGAGCTGCAGGGAGGACAGCACTGCAGGGCCATGGCCTTGTAGCTTATGACATGAAGGAGACCTGGAAGAGAGCCAGGGACAGAGATCTGGGGATGGGGGGTGGGGCACAGCTACTCCGTATCAGAGTCATGTTAACACACAGCCCAAGTGCCCATGGCAAGTAAGGGTAGCTGGGTCACAGCCATTCTGGAAGGCCCTTTGGTCTGGTAATTTTGTTCCTCTGAGCAGCACAGTTTCCACATTATGGGAGCCGAGTGAAGCAAAAGGTTTGAGATCCTGGGTGAATTCCGGTCATAGAGGCCATGAGACACTCTGGATTCTTCCAGAGTGGAGCTTAGGCGGTCAGGAGCACCTGCTGCCCAGCCAGGAGCCTTTCCCTTGCAAACACACTCCTGTCCCATCCCTTGGCTCTTTATCTAGACTCCCAGCTAGAGGCTGGGGGACCTACCATCTCTCCCTTCCTGGAGAGCCAGGGTCACAATTGAACCAGCAGCTTCTTTGCCCTGTGTCCTGCCCCAGCCCAGTGGTGAGTTCAGGAATGAAATGAATTGGCTGAGAAATTGTGAGGCTTGGCTGGGAAAGGTCATGCCCGCACATTGGTCAGAGGAAACAGGCCGGGTGCCATGCCAGGCCCACTAGAGGCTCTTCAGAATCTGAGCTCTCGAGACTGGCCTGTTAGCTCAGTTGGTTAGAGTGCGGTGCTGATAACACCAAGGTCCGGGGTTTAATCCCTGTACCTGCCAGCCACAAAAAAATATTAATAAATAAAATAACCTGAGCTCTCCAGTGAATGGACACATTTATTTGCTCCCCATTGACCATGTTCTAAGTGCCCACTCTGGGCCAGGCAATGCGGAGATGGGCACAGTCCCTGCCCCTAGGAAGCTCGATGTCTGGAGGGGGCCTTGTTCAAGGAGATCACTGGCCACCCTAAGGCAACCCAGGTGCTGGGGTGGGGCCTGTCCTCCCTAGACATCATGGAGAAGGGGCTGCTTGAGCCGTCTTGCATGATTCCTGGATTCCTGGAAAAGGTGGCGGTGGGATAGAGGCATTTAGAGCCGGGAGCCTGGGAGAAGCTGGCGGATGGAGAGCATACTTCCTCCTACATAGACTCTGGAGTCAGGCTACTCTAAATTTTTAATCCCAGCGTCACCACCCGTGAGTTGTGAACCTCCCACTGCCTGTTTCTACATTTGAGAATGGGCGTGATAGAAGTACCTACCCCCAGGGTGGCTGAGCGCAGCAGTGAACTGATAGAAGGCGCTGATATCCAGGTTCCTAGAACGATGCCCGCATAGAAAGCTCTTCATCTATTCCCTTGCTCAAGGAATGCTCACCGAGGGCCCCTGCCATCCCAGGACTGTCCTTAGGTCCTGGGGAATCAGCATGAACATCTCAGAAACAAATCCACCCTCACCAGCTGACCCCCGTGTTGGGGAGGAAGCCTTAAAAAAAAAAGAATGCATAAAATAAACTAGTAGGTGGCGACAAGTGCCCTGGAGGGAAGTAGCAGCGAGGATGGGGAGGGGGTGGGGTGGGGGAGTGGTTGGGGCAGGGCTGCAGTGTGCAATAGAGCGGCAGGGAGGGCCTTGTGGAGAAATAGGAACAGGTGTTTGCGTCTGGACCTGAAGGAGTTGGGGGCAAGCCCGGGGCAGATCTGGGCGCAGTCCCCGTGGACAGTGCCGGCCAGAGTGGGGGAGGGGCAGGCCCACAGAGCTTTCTGGGCTAGGACTTGCGGCTTTAGGAGGTCACTGGGAGCAGACATGGAAGGAAAGAAGATTTCTCTTTTATGAGCTGGCAGCTTGGCAAACTTTTTAGTTTGGCAACTCCTTGAGTTCTTAATTGACTTGCTTTTATCCCATTTTACCCCAGGAAAACCCTGCCCCAGAGATGAGTCCAATTAGCTTGGCTTGGAGTGGGCAGCCCAGGGGGAGATCATGTTGGAAAAAGCCCTGTTTGGAGAAATTTAGAGAACATTTTTGCCAAGGCCCAAGAGTATCCTTAGATAAGATGGTACCAGGAGCTGCTGCAAACCAAGAGGGGCACTCTTAGCCCACCAGGTGGGGAACTGCTTCTGCTGCTGCAGGGCCCATCCATCACCCCAGAGACTGGAGGGGCGGGAGGGGAAGGAGGGCTGAGTGCGTGGGCCTTGGTGTCAGGTGGTCAGGATTTGGCTCTCAGATCTGCTGTGTTCTAGTAACCATGTGTCTTTGGGCAGTGTCCTTCATTCAGCCCTCTGAATCCATTTACCCATCTGGAAGACTGAGATCACTGCCTCTTCAGGTAGCTATGGAGTTGAGGTAATAACAGGGACACCTGGCATGTGGAAGCTGCCCGGGGAATGGTGGCTGTTATGTTATCACAGAATATTAGTGCTCAAGTGGACCTGAGAATTCATTGAGTCCGGTAATTTGCAAATCCTTTTTTTTTTGGTGTCTGGCCAGTTTGGGGAACCAAACCCTTGACCTTGGTGTTATAAGGCTATGCTGTAACCAAATGAACTAACCAACCAGCCCCCAGTTTGCAAATCTTCTTGAGCTGCGGAGCCTCTTGTAGACACTCATTGTACAGACCAGTTAGAAGCAGCACATTTGGGGTGAAGCCAAGGGGCTGGGGTTCTGGGGGAGGCCCAGCACCTTGGCCTCTCAGTCCCCTTCCTTCACCATCAAAGCTCCAATGATCACAGTTGAAAACTACAGATACAGTTACTGTATAGAAGAGGGAATGGAAAACCAGAGGAGGAAAGTAATGTGCCTGGAGTCACACAGCCAGAATCCACTTGCCCAGTTCCCAGTATTTTTCTCCTCACTGCACTGTGGGCCTTAGAAAATAACTTATAATACGAAGTTCCCACAGTTCAGTTTTACACACAGACATCTCTAACTTCTAACGTGATAGTCAGCTTACATTATCTTTTTTTTTTTTTTAATTATCTCTGGGTAGTTTGAAACATTCCCTATTCTATGTGAAGGTGAAAGGTAGAATCAAGAAAGAAAACAACAAAGTCTTTATTGTCCCCCTTCTGCACTGGAATCTTACATCAGCTTTAGTGTTGTAAATAATCTGCAGGTTTCTGCCCTCCCTTTAGACCTTCGATCTCTCTATCACTCTGTTTCCTTGGATTGTAGCTGGAAGAGAGTGTTCCTAAGCCACCCCACCACCTGCTACAGGACCACCTGCCCAGGTACCATCTGCCTCTTGGGTTCACCAGCTCTTTCTGGGCCCTGGGACCAGGCTGGTTCGTAAAGGTCCATTTACAGTCCTGGGCCAGAGGGTGGGGTCGGGACTGGCTCCAGGGCAGAGGGACGGGGCTTTCGGAGGCAGAGGGGTCTGCTCACACTGTGCTCATTCCTCGCTTGCTAAGTGGCATTTTTCACTGAGAATGGAGTGACAGCTTTGGAGTTACTCCCTTAAGCAATTATACTTGCATTGGTGAGGGGCAGAGAAGGGCATGCACTGAGCACCTGCTTTGCAGACAGCCTCCAATCCAGCATCAAACTCAGGGAGAGACACCAGAGTTGTTTCCTCCTGTATAACAGGGGGTGATGTTTGCCTGAGGTCAGGGATCCCCATTTCCCTCCTGTATAGGATAGGGCTTGTCATACCTGGGGTCTTTGTGAAGATTCAATAGATAGCACCCATGGAAGTGCTTCATCAGCTATAAAATCCCAAACAAACATGAGTAATTATCAGTACCACTATGCGTGGTTCAGCGTGGCTCCCCAGTGTGCCCTCACTGCCCCTCACCGAGGGGTCTAGTGCATCCCACCCACCTGGGAGCTAGCAATTGCACCCGCGTGTGTCAACGTTGATTCTTGTGTGAATTTGCTACTTCTGGTGAGGTAAGGAGCTCATCTCCCCAAAGCAGAGCTAACAGTTTTACATACAGGCAGGGGCGTGTTCTTACCCAGGGCTAGGCAATGCCTTTGACGTGCCATTTCAAAGTTTTCAAGTTCCAATGTCACTGGCCTCTGAAGCATGGGGGAAACTGACAGTGGGGCTGTTTCTGCTCAGAAATCAGAGTTTGAGGACTTAGGATTTTGGAACCAGAATGATCTGGGTTTGATTCCCAACTCTGCCCTTTACCATCTGACCTTCATCACATGACTTCTAGCCATGGAGCTTCAGCTTTCTCATCTGTAAAGTTTTTTTTTTTTAAGTGCCTACCTCATGGGGTTGTTGTGATGATGAAATGATGTCATGCATGAATAGTACTTAGCACAGCACCTGACGTACAGTAGATGCTCAGTGAAAGGACACTGTTGCTGTGTTAATGAGCCCCCTGTTGTTTCCGTGATGCTCCAGCTAGCAGAACAGCAGACCTAGTTAGGTACCCAGAATTAGCTTCAATAATTTCTACCTTTAATTACACTTTAATTACAATGATGTGACCACCAAGTAATATATTAATATTTTTTAGTAAAAAGGACAGAAATCGCCATCCCAATAGTAACCACACTTAGCTGCTTATTAAGCCCTTTGAATACACGAACACGTGAATACCCTGTTTGTCATCTGTCACCCTGGAAGGGAGGTTGTGGTTTTATCTGTATTTTGTAATAATTGGTAAGGAAATTGATAAGGGGCTCAGAAATTGACCACATGGTCTCATGTAATGGGCCTGATTTGAATGGGCCCAGTTTGACACAGACTGTGGTTTCCTGTGTAAAATATCAGCTTTGACGAGGATTCCTCATCGTCTGCATTTCATGTCCAAAAGCAAATACTCTTAGCTGTTACGCAGGGTTTGCTCTGTGCTAAGACTTTCCATGGATTAGTTCATTGGATCCTCACAATAATACTGTGGAAGTAGTTCAGTACCATCACCCCTTTTCAGATGAGGATGCTGAAGCTTGGAGAGGTTAATTAAGGTGCCCAAGGAAGTGATGGAGGCTACATTCACTGCTGAGCAGCCTGCCTGCAGGATCTGAAGGTTCACTGCTTTACTGTGCCAGGCCGCAGAGGCCGTTAAGAACAACCATGTGTAGAAGTTAAAGAAGAAAAGGCCCCCTCAGCACTGCAGCGTTCCCTGAGTCTTAAGACACCCACGCTGTCACGTTGATGGTGATGAGATCTTCATCCTTGTTAAGCTTAGGTCCAGCACCAGTTAATCATTATGGTCTCCCTGAGCTGCACCAGGCCTTCTGAGCAGCTGTTGGTAATGAAGGCATGTGTTGCCAGTCTCAGAGCCGGGAGCCAAGTCCTGTTGGCACATCCCCAGGGCCTTCCCAAGCCCACCACTGAGTGTCCTTTAGCAACCACATGCAGCCCCTCCTTTAGGTACTTGTTAGTTCCTTCTCCTCCCTGTGCTGCAGCTTGTTCCCTAGTGGACCATGGGGGGAGCAACGGGCTGGGTCCCAGCAGGGCAGGTGGTCTGCTGGCCTCACATCTGTGGCCGACCCCTCTGTACCCGTATGCTTAGCTGTTAATGAGTATCTCTTGATAGGCCCTTGTGACTCCCAGCCCTGCCAGAATGGAGGCACGTGTGTTCCAGAAGGACTGGACAGGTATCGCTGCCTCTGCCCACTGGCCTTCAGAGGCGAGGCTCACTGTGGTATGTATGCACGGGACCTCTGAGACTCTGACCACTGGGGGGCAGTTAGAGCACGCCCCGCCCCCCCCACCTCCCTCCCTTCTAGCTCCTGGGTAGAAACCGACCCTGGAGTTTTAAAGCCATCTACTTCCCAAATATGCCACCGATCTAATGTCTCATGTGGTATACAGCCTCTGAGTGCTCCATGAGTAAATAATTTGGATGGTGGAGCTCTGGGTAGGACAGCAGCTCCTAGCTCATTAGCTATAGAAGGGCTGCTGCGTGATGTTTGAGCATCGCTGAGCCCTGCTGAAGCTGGAGCTGGACTGTCTCTGGGTCCTGGTTCTGAGCAGAGTCTTTTCTTCTCTCTTCCACAAAAGAGAGGTGAGAAGCCCCAATCCCTTTTGGTTTTAAAGGTGTGAAAGGAAGATTATAATAGGCTTTGCCTCAGAGGGTGGTTGAGAATTTTAATAAGGTTCTGTATGTAAAGCATAATGCTTGACACATAGTGAGGGCTTGTTACATAATAACTTTTTAAAAAATGTGGTGTTGGGTTCACTGGAGATATATATGGAAAAAATAAATCTTGACCTCACAGCGTACCCAAAAATCAATTCCAGATGGCAAAACTTCTAGAAGAAAACTTAGGAGCATTATCTTCATGATCTTGAGATAGACAAAGATTTCTCAGGACACAAAAAGCATTAACCAATCTGGCCCTATTTCTCACTCTGTGCTGAGTACTGGTCACTTAACTCCCTGAGGCCTCAGTTTCTCTGCCCTTCCTGGGAGTGAGGCTTCTCCTGCCACATGTGGTATTTGGGCATCTGTATGCTCCAGTGGCCACAGCATGACGGTGGGTATTGCTGCAATTCCGGCAGCCCCGAAGCTAAGCCTGGCATGCAGAATCGATGTCCTCTTCCTGCTGGACACCTCTGCTGGCACCACCTTGGAGGGCTTCCTGCGGGCCAAGGCCTTCGTGAAGCGGTTTGCACAGGTCGTGCTGAGCGAGGACTCTCCGGTCCGAGTGGGCGTGGCTGGGTACAGTCGGGAGCTGGTGGTGGCAGTGCCTGTGGGGGAGTACCAGGATGTGCCAGACCTGGTCAGGAGTCTCGACAGCATCCCCTTCAGCGGCGGCCCCACCCTGACAGGCAGTGCCTTGCAGCAGGTGGCAGAACGCGGCTTCGGGAGTGCCACCAGGACAGGCCAGGACCGGCCACGCAGAGTGGTTGTCCTGCTCACTGAGTCTCGCTCCCAGGACGAGGTGGCTGGCCCAGCGCGACATGCCAGGGCCCGAGAGTTGCTCCTGCTGGGCGTAGGCAGCGAGGCTGTGCGGGCAGAGCTGGAGGAGATCACGGGCAGCCCAGAGCATGTGATGGTCTACACAGACCCTCAGGACCTGTTCAACCAAATCCCCGAGCTGCAGGGGAGGCTGTGCAGCCAGCGGCAGCCAGGTAAGGTCCCCATGCCTGACCTAGGGGCTGGCTGGTCAGTGGACGGGTCCTGCTTTCTTCTCGTCACCACTTAATCATTATTCTCTCCTGGTGCCTGCACTAGGGGCTGAAAGCACAGCCCCACTCTTTGATGTACTAGCCACATGACAACTTCTCAGTTTACTTGTCAATAGAATAGGACTATTAATAGCACCTCCTGAGAAGCTTTTTGTGAAGAGAAAGTAAAACAAGCAATACACACCCTTAGTACAGAGTAAGCATGCAGCAAATTTTGTGTTGCTATTTATTATTATTCATTGTTATTTATTGTTATTGTTAATAAGGAGCTATGAATCACTAAGCCTGCTCTGGAGCAGCAGCTTTCCAGCTTCTGTGACAGCTACCCACAGAAAGAAATGCATTCCTAGTACACACATACACATGCACACACATACACGTGCACGCACATTCCCAGTACATGCATGCACACCTGCGGGGGTGCACACACACATGCACGCACGCACACACACACACACACACATACATAATGTGCACATATGCATATGTACACATACATACATGCACGTGCACATACATGCACACACAGATGCACGTGCACACACAACTGAAACAAATGTTTCCTGGAATGATACTTATCCCACTTTACCTGGGATGTGTTCTGACCTTTTTCTGTGCTGTTCTGTTTCACACCCCATGACA